TCAAACAGTGGACAATCAGCTGAAAATGGAAAAGGTACATCCTACCCTAGACATAACTCATTCTGGCTATCCCTTCAAACTCTGTCCAATTCCCTGACTTGCAGCCTAGTCTCAGCTGTCATCTTGCACTTAAGGGAAGCAGTCTTCCAATCAAGACTTATGGGCAGTATAATAAGATTTGGGGCTGCTAAATAAATACAAAAATCAAAGTAGCCTTCTACTAGGTGAACTCCATCTGGTCTATGCCCTGGCTACAGAAGGGAATCTTGTGAAAAACTGATTAAAGTTCCAAGTAAAATATCCATACCTTTTACATAATCAGAGCGGGGAAAAAAATATAATTTAGTTTGTTGGAATCTTCAGAAATTCTATATGGGAAATGAATGTTCAAAATGAATGTTTCAAAATAAAACTAACTGCCCCAAAATGAATTTATTTAAATCAATATACCGAGTATCCGCATGAAATTCCAAAAGACATTTCAAGGTGACATAAGCACTTTTCTGGAAAACTGCGAAGTCAATTCATAAATAAAAAAGTGAATTTTTCCTTCATTAACAAAATGTTCTCTAAAATATCTTTTTTCCCCCCCTTTTTTAGTTTTCAAGGCACTAACTTTTGATTTAATACTCTGAGTGCTTTTTCTGCACAATAAACATACCACTGATTTGCTTAGAAGAAACCTTTTCACTGATTTGGACATCAGTTTCCTCTGATTACAGGAAGCCATAAACTTCCTGCTTGTTGCACTTCTGCTGTGCCCATCCACTGTTCTCTCATACAGGGAAATAAAATTTACAGGAGTGCAGATTTCTCAATATTCCAAAAGAGAAGAATCTCTTGCATACACATATTCACGAAGCAGTAAAACTGACAAGGCAAAAATCAGTAAAAGCTTTATGCATAAACGTGAACTATACTTAAAATCAAGTAAGGTCAAATCGGTGGCCTGTTAGCCTAAACTGTTTAATGCATTGTGCAAAAAGACTAAGGGGTGAGTACAAGGCACTTTAGGAAGTATCAGCACAAGCAGCACTTGGTTTATTTTTCAGTATACAAAACAAACAAACAAAAAAGAAAAGCCCAGATATAGTACTTGCATATATTAACTTTTCTCCAAACTGTGCATATTTATTAGCACCATAGGCATACGTGCAAATGGTGTATATTAAAAATGAGTCAGGCCTAAAGGAGGAAACACTATGCTATTGACTCATGACTAACTGAAAGTTAAGGAAAGCTCCCTTTTAAGTATGTAGTTCCAAATGAAATAACAGGGTGCATACACTGCATGTTTCCAAGCCACCATTCTAAAAACACATGAAAGCTTTACAGAAAGCAGGGAAACAGGCATCAGCACCCCTATAGAGCCACTCTTCTCAATGCAGAAATTAAGAAGCAAATTATTCCTGCAGCACAATCATTAAATAGCCTTTACATCTTTACATTAAAAAGAAAATCTTTACACTAAAAGAAGCATAATCCTAAATATTTAGTTGTATTCCTTCTACAGCTATTAGTAGTATCTTCCTTTTATCTACTCTTTCACTGTACTTTTCAGATGTCTTTTATATAGGTCACTATTTAAATTGTTAAATTGCCTTTTCATTTCCATGATTTAATAAACTTGTGTGATTTATTAAATATTTTACAGTGTGATCCTGAGTTAACTGTGATAAGTGAGATATTATAAAATCTGGGTTCCAACTGGAGCTTTCCCATCCAGTTACTCTTTCGCCTTGAATAAGTTGCTTTCCTCACACTGAAAACGATTAATGCCGTTTTCATCTACAGAAGTAACGCTCTACAAAACTAGTAAGTGTTAATCATTAATAGTCTAGACAAAATTTAGTCAAGAAGGTACAAGAAATCAAAAGCATCACCTAGGTATTACATCTTCTTATTCAGATTTACAATAATTTGTTCTTGATGCATCTAAAGCACAATAGATTGGAAATAATCATATACACTGCTTGAGTATACTATTGAGCTTTAAGTTATTGTAACAATTCAGAAAAGAGTTCTGAGTATGACTTTAGGCAGTTAGATTACAAATGCAACAACACTGTAAAAAGAGTAAAAGGATTTTGTATCTCTGTGGAAAAACACTCACCTATATAAAATTATGCATCAACAATAAAAACATCAGTTTTAAAAAAAATATTAGCAATAGTTTTCTAACACCACTCACCATATCTGACACAGAGAAATTATCATATATCCCATTACATGGCTAAAATGATTAAGTCATGGGACTAGAAACCACTGATCATGATCTGATTACATAGATAGACAGAGCTCACAGGTGTCTGTGTAAATATATCATGCACATACATGTTCATCTTCATGAGGTTTCGAATTTTCTGAACCTGAGCAAAACTATGAACAAAATTGACTGAGAGGAAAAATCTTAGACAGAAAAATATGAAAATGCAAAGTTCTTTCAGGCGACTCTTATCTATGATCAGTCATAGCTCTACAGCTAATAAATAGGACAATTTTGGCTACAACTCAACCCAGTTTATTTGAAAACAAAAGCAAGCATATGAAATACAAAAGTGAGATCCACAAATGTAGAAGAGGGAGGACTAGATCACCATCTATATGAACTGGAATTACAGAGTGTAGAAACTGATGAGAGACATAAAAACATCCATTTATAACTCAGCCAGCATTGAATGCTGTTACAAATATCAGTAAGAAAAATCACCTCACTAATAGCATAGGCCCGTGACTACACTGAGGTGGCAGAAGTGTTAAAAATCATACAGAAAGATCAAAAATATTCAATAAATATTTTCATTCTATAGTTGGAAAGATTCAAAAATGGTATAATTGTGTCACATTATATTGACATTCTTTCCCACTCATTTGTTAAACAGATGTTCCAGATCAGATGTTAAACAACATTGTGAGACAAACATTTTAAATCAGCACACTTGTTAAACTTTATCCAAGAGTCCTAGAGGAGTCAGCCCAGCAAATCTATGATCTGTTCAGGCTCTTTTAAAAATATATTTTTTAATCTCTATCTGTCTTGAAATGCTAAGGACTGCCACAATATAGAAGAGTGAAAACACCATGTCAAAGGAAGAAAAATCAAGTTTCAAGGCAACGTAATACGATAGAGAATTCAGACGAGATAACAAGAACTAGCGACTAGAAACTGAAAACAGATGCATTCAAATGTATTCAAACAATAATTGCATGCCTTATTTTTAAATAGTGAAAAAGATGAATCACTGAAACAAATCATCCAGAAGTAAATGGTAGATTCTCAGTATCTTGATACACTTAAAAACAGCTTAGCCAACTCTAAGTTTAGCAGAAAAACCCATGCAGACAAAAACTGATGCTGTAACACACTTGAGGTGAAATGTTCGCATATTAAGATAGATTTGATCACAACCCTAATGCAGCATTAAACAGGTTTAACTTAATCAAATACATGAACTTTTCACATACACACAGCTAGATTAACTAGTAAAGTGGCAATAAAGTTCTTCAGTAAATCTAAAATAAAGATTTGCCAATCCATTAACAAACAAAAATCCCCTCAACTTAAACAGGACAGAAGTAAAATGCGTTTTTAAATACTATAAAGGATACTGTGATATTGTCTCTTTTCTACTGCAAGTTGAACACTAGCGACTTATGATCCTTCCTATTATTTCCAAACTTCTTCCAGCTAGACTTGAAGTCATGTGCTCCAGTGCTATTGGAAAATCTAAATCTTGCCATTAACCAGAGGCAAAATACTATTGCTATTGTGCTTGATTATTCATCAGCCTTTATTACCAAAAACTGCTAAACATCTAATGTCCATCTCCATGGCTTGGATGCAGTTCGAGAAACAGCTCCAGCTTGGCTCTGTTTCTTATTCCAATTCTCAGGAGTATAAATACAGTCAATTATTTCTCCTCAAAGACTGTCACACAGAGATGCCCACAAAAATCAAACTAATAATTCTTTTTGCTATTCAATATCAATGAAAAGAATATGAATTATCAGATTATAATGCTATTCAGCATGACCAGAACTTCAAACTCTGCATCATCTTTGTATTCTTTACTCAAAGTACTATCATCTCAGAAGCTGCAGTATCAGGGGAAAAAAACTGATATTTGGGTAACAAAAACATTCTCAAGTAAAACATGGAATACAGTTGCAATCTTTCTAAAAAATGGAAATTGCAACAGCTATACCCATTTTTTTTGTGGTCAAAAGAGAGTGTAACATAACAACCAAACACAGGCAAATTGACTCCTTCTATCATGTGTAAGAGCCCTCTTCCTCTTAGAGGAAAACTCAGTCAGAGATCTGTGTTTTTATGGACTACCAACTTAACTGCTTTGGGCGCTTTACTGGGCCAGAAGAAAAAAAAACACACACAAAACCTACAGCTTCGATACTACAGAGCAGTGTAAAGTCTAAGTCAAACAGGTTACAGATTATATCACATTTGCACTCTGCAGTCATCACAGGCTCCTGATCCAAAATTCTCTTCAACATGCTAATCGACAAAGCCTCAAATGGACTAGGCACTGATTATCTTAGAAACCATCTATCCTCCACAATTCTCAGCAACAGCTGTTGTCAATTACAACAGCATACCTAACAGTTTAAGATAAAACTCCTAAGGATAGAGCACAGAGTAAACTCTCTAGAAAGATGTCAACAACAGCATTCCTTTCGTGGTCAGCTATAAAATAGTTCTTTGCATAGTCCTTCCCCAGTGAGAAGTGAAGGTACAATAGCAACAATAACCTGGAGACAGTAAAGGTGACCTCTAAACTACTGTAAATCACAAGCAGGCAGAGTATGTATAACACATTTCCACCAAACCATATTTTTCTTGCATGTTCATACAAGGTGCTCAAGTTCAAAAGAAGCAACTGCTATCCAAATGCAAAAAAAAAAAAAAGTTTGAATAAACCCAACATTATAACACAAAGAAGAAAGAAAGAAAAATGTAAATGAGGAGGAACATTTTCACTTACATTTCTCAAAGTTGAGTGCCATTCTTGCAAGTGCCATAGTGCTTAAGAAAAGCTATCAACCATTTTTGTGTGACAAGTGAGCTTTGCTAATACCGCAGCAGAAACTGAGAACTATTTATAACAATCTAGTTTGTGGCTGTCCTTAGATTTTTGAGAATGTGAAACGAAGTGAAACACAGAAGAATGTCATCAGTTTGTTTAATCGCTAAGAAAGCTACCAGTATAAGCCTTATTCAGGTGCATTTCCTATCCACAAAGCTGGAGAACACACTCTTCTTCTCCTGAACAAAGGGATGTCATTATTACCTTTTGCAAGATTTGGTTTTCATAGGAGTTGACTATAGCTATAGTTTCATCAAATCATGAAACCATCATAAAATCTGGAAACCCCACCCCACATATCTCCCAGTATACACTTATATGTAAAAATGACAACTGCTCATGCTCTCATATTTTGCTGTATGCTGAAGTTCATAACGTAGATTCACAAATCATACAAGGATAAGTCAGTGTCGTTAGCTCAACAAGAGAGTTACCAATTTCAAGAAGGTATACAAAGACTTTAAAACATGACAATTGCTTTATGGCCACGTTTCACTGTGTCTTTACCTAATATTCTGAATGTATTAAAAAAGATCTTAATGGTAGCAAGTCCAGTAATCACTACCATTGCAAATATATTTGACATAATGGTTTAGAACTCTATTCTAGAGTAACAGCATTTAGGCCAAACAGAAAAAATCGTCATGCATGTAACACAGGTCAGTGAAAAGAAGTTTGATAATTATTCACAATGACATTAAGTCAGATAACCGTCACAATTAATAATTGGGTATTCCCAATGACATTAAGTCAGATAATTATCAATAATTATGACATTTATGAAATAAGGACTGGCTCGAAAAAACAGAAGTCATTACCATCCACAAACTATATCCTTTTCTTATTTACCAGTTCTAGGACTTACAGTATTTCAACCTGCCAGTTGCAAATATAACAGCAGATGATGACTCAAAGTGAAGTGTAATCTAGGATCAATTTAACTGAATTTATTCTATTACTCTCCATTTTTTTCTAATTCTTTTAACACCAATGAACGTAGCCCACCTTTATTTGGGATACATTTTAAAAGGTTTACTTTTCACAAAGGTATTGTCAGTGCATAATTGAATTAGTGTGTGGCAAGTAACAGAAATGACAAATAACAACTTTAATAAAGTTTCACTAGCATGAAAGGAAACACTTTTCTTATGTAGTGCTTTTTAACCAAGTTTCAGAGTACTTTGTAAGGGAGGATAAGCAGGATTACTGAGAGTAAAGTGGAGAATGGATGCTACAAAGCTGAGGGGCTAGAAAAGTATTCTTGTCTTCCGATTCCCATTCCACTACATTTTGGAAGATGATTCTTTCATGTATTAACAAACATTGCTGTCTGTTAAATATTTACAGTCATATATATTACCAAAGGAAGAAGTTATGTCAACATGGTGGGACAACTTTTCCTTAAGATCAGACCATAAAGCCTTCAGGATGCATGCTGCCACAGGATACGCAGCTAGAGTGAACTACTGATGGATATGATACAGCGATCTAAGGGTATAAAATTCTCAAACAACTAAGACGTGCTAACTGCAGCCCCTGCACTGAAATCTGTTCTTCCTGTAACACTTAAACTACTGTATCCAAAATAAAAAGAAACGTGATAGTCAAATACCTAAAACTGTGTCAAAGCAATGAACTGGACAGTTAGGATGAACTGAGTGAACTACTGATGGATATGATACAGCGATCTAAGGGTATAAAATTCTCAAACAACTAAGACGTGCTAACTGCAGCCCCTGCACTGAAATCTGTTCTTCCTGTAACACTTAAACTACTGTATCCAAAATAAAAAGAAACGTGATAGTCAAATACCTAAAACTGTGTCAAAGCAATGAACTGGACAGTTAGGATGAACTGAAGCCAGACAGATGGGAGTAAGAGGAAAGAGAGGCTCTAGGGGCTGGAAAGCAGTGTGTGTGGG